GATATACTGTGTAGATAGAGAAATTATAGAGAACAATTAAGCCTTGTGTCATCCAGAAAATACAAAACATTGATCATAGAGTCAGTGTTAAGAATTTTATTCAGTAACTTCATAAAGCTTTTGAATTTTCTGCTCCAGTTTTACAAAACGTTATTATCAGTAAATGTAGTCCTGCTTTTTGAAGGATGAACACTAATATATAAAGTTTTTTTTTACATGCACTTTGTCACTGCATGGTATCCAAATAAGATATCTGTTTGCAGTTATTCCATGATCATTTCATTGTACCAGGTTGTATTATATATATAAAAAAAGTGTCAGTAATGCAGTTATTTTATTAAACTTTTAATGTGCATGTCTTGTGATACCCATATTTTAGCTTTTGTATTGGACTTCTTGAGTAGCCATTTCCACTTTAGAACACAAATGAGACTTTTATATTAAACATTTCATTTCATTTTTTTTTTTTTTTTTTATTCAGTTGTCTTCAGCAATATATGCATTAAAGTACAGTTGTACATCTGCTGTTAGGCTTTGATGGTTGTCATGATTTCTTCTTATTTTTTATTTGGTAAAAAATAAGTATGTTTTTCTTTTCTATGTGGGAATTAACATGATTTTATTATTATCTCCCTAAAAGAAAACCACAAGTTTACAGTTCTTGATAAGACTTCTAAGGAGGTTTTTGTACAAATTAGACTTCTTAAATAAAAGTCCGTATAAGATTTTCTTGGTTTTTTACCATGTTAAAGCCCAAAATGTTCTTACTGCTTAGGGTATCATTATGATGTGGTTTCATCATCTTGACAAATAAATTCCGGATAACAATTTGCTCATACATGTTTTTACATGCATACAAGCCCTGTAGGCCCCCCCAGTTTCATGCCTGTTGTTATGGTGGGACTTGGGAGACGGGGCTGAGGCCCAATGTAGGAGATCACCCAGGCTTTGGGCCTCAGCCCTCACCTCAACTAATTTTGCATGGTCTTTTCTTCTCCTCCTATCTTATTCCCTATCCTATATCTATTCCCTTCCTCTGTCCACTTTCTTGGGTTTGGGAGCTGTGCTGAAGAAATGAATGGCCTTCATGCTCCATTTGCTATTTCCTCAGCAGCCTTTGATATCTAGCATATTTTGTCCTAATTGTTAACTCATTTGAAACCTTTTTGCCATAGTACTTAATCATGATTCTGTATGACCTGTTCTTACGTGGGGGCTTCATCCCCAAGCCTCACCCTATTGTTATATTTTGCATATGCCGCTAATGACCTTAGATGTTGATGTAGCAAATTTTCAGTAAATAGATAAATGAATAAGCCCTTCAGGACCCTGACCTCAGATGATGATATATCATAATATTAGTACACTTCAAGACATGATTGATTTGAATGTATGCTCAAATCCTTAATAAAGATTTGAGACTAGCCAGCACTACATAATGTACTCATGAGTTTCCACATGCTTTCCTCTAAGGAAATGCCTAAGCCACAACTGAAGCTGAATCCATACAATATATATTCACAGTCATTTGTGTCTGTCCATTTTTTGTTTTCACAGATAATATCAATATCTGAAATATTCTTAATATATTTCAGAATTACTGCAAGTACTAAATGGCATTTTCAGGATTATACAGTTCTATTTACCACCCATCTAATGAACATTACTAGTTTTCTCTTTTGTCATTCTTTATACAGTGAACCTAATGTAACCATTATAAGTTTAGAAGTAATTGTTTGTGAATGAAGAAATTTTATTTAATGAATAGGGTGTGAACACCAATTTATTTTAAAAGATTCCTTGTACTTCGTAAACTTATGAAAGTATGCTATTTTCATTATATATGCATTTTAAATGCAGACATAATTTAAATTGGAAAAAAATAGCAAAGTAAATATTTTTTTGGTTAAAACACATTAAATGCTCAGATGAAAGTGAAATTTGATTTGATGACAAAAAACATTCCATTAACAATTGTCACAACAGGTGTATAGGGAAGGATAGCTCATAACCCCCCCCCCCCCCCAGTCCTATGCCCTTTTCTGTCATAGGGAGAGAAGGACATAGGAGGAGACTGAGCCCTCACCTGAACTAA